AGAGACAGGAGACCACCCCCCCTCCTCCTACCCTTCCCCCCCTCCCCCCCCTCAGGACACAGGTGAGGAGGTGATCAGGGGGCAACTAAATCAGGACAAAGAGCCAATGTGGTAAAAACTCCACCATGATTGCTCACTGTGAAGATTCCCTTAGGCCCTAAACACAAGTAAAATATTTGCTCAAGCTGCCCAGCAGAGCATGCATAAGAGGGAAACACAAGGGAGTAGTAAGTGTCACACAATACACCTTTCTACTAACCAGTATCTAGTCGCTGCTGTGGGGACCAGAAACTTCCATAACTAAGCTCTTGAGAGAGGAGGAACCTATGAATGAATCTTCCTGTTCCCTCCCCTTTCCCATACCTCCTCCTCCTTCACTGGGAGCACAGAATAGACAGAAAACTAGGTGGGCTCAAATGTCCCTGTTAACCCCGGGATCCCTCCCCCAAAACAAGCACCATGGGAAAAGGCGTCCATGACAGGTGGCAGGGCCAGCGTTGTTCATACATGTTGAATCATGCATGGAGCAGACCGCCAGTGAGCAGATGCTCTCCACCTAGCAGATGAGGTCTAGAAGGGCAGGGCAAACGAGGCTGTGTGTGGTGTAGGTGGCTCCACCCAGCGGCGGCAACCACCTGGACAAACCAAGTTGATGCTGCCTGGGGAGCTGCTAATCTAGTCCCTTCAGGGAGACTTAGGGCGGGTTAGAGCTGCGGGAGTCAGGAACAGCTGGAGACTTTCCGGACACATCACTTTACAGGGCGCTTGGCTGATGGGAGCCTTTGAGACAATATAGGATCATGGGGAGCTGTCAGGGGCAGGCTGACTTGGCTTTACCTTGACAGTAGGTCAGAGCGGGGTGTCTGCGATAGACCACACACACACACACACACACACACACACACACACACACACACACTGACCTGCATTGGGAGTGACCGCAGGGAGCGCTCTATTTTACCTTGACAGTAGGTCAGAGCCGGGCGTCCGTGACAGAACACACACACACACACACACACACACACACACACACACACAGGCTGACTTGGCTTTCCCTTGACAGTAGGTCAGGTCAGAGCGGGGTGTCTGCGATAGACCACACACACACACACACACACACACACACACACACGCACACACACTGACCTGCATTGGGAGGGACCGCAGGGAGCGCTCTCACACGCATCACAGAACCTCCATCTTGACTGGGAGTCACAACTCTGGTCCCTCCCTCCGATTGCCCTGAATTAAAGGAGCGGCATCAAGCTGGCCAACTGCTGCTGCCCGCCCCCGTGACGTTGGACGTCCCGGTCGCACGTTGCGGTGGGGCGGGGAGCAACGGAAACCTGTGTGTGAGCTGCAAGGTTTTGACTGTCTGCCTGTGGAGGAAGTAACCGTAATTGCGCTACTGCGATTTCTTCAAACACTGTGGTGACAGGGCCTGGTGCCAAGGTAAGGGAGAACCTCAGCCTCAGCCGTTTCCTGCCCAAGGATGTGGGAGTACACCCAGGAGCTAGGAGTGGTGCTGGATATTTTGGCTGAGTTCATTCTAGAGGCTGAGGACAGTGTCAGTGGGGGAGGGGAATTTAACAGTGAGGACGAGTGACGACAGACCCAGAGCTGCCTCCCTCTCCAGTGCTGTAAATGAGAAAGACCGACTGGGATGTAGATCAGTTAGCATAGTGCTTGCCTAGCATGCTGAGAGCTCTAGATTCGATCCATACATCACATCCTTAAGTGATGAAGGCTGGAGGAACAGTTAGTTAAAGGTAATTTTTTTTTTTTTTTTTTTCGAGACAAGGTTTCTCTGTTTAGCTTTGGAGCCTATTCTGGCACTCGCTCTGGAGACCAGGCTGGCCTCGAACTCACAGAGATCCTCCTGCCTCTGCCTCCCGAGTGCTGGGATTACAGGCCTGCGCCACCAACGCCCGGCTTAAAGGTCATCTTCAGGTACATCTTAAAAAAAAAAAGGAGCAGGAAAAACAAACAAACAAACAACCAGTCTTTATCTGGTTCTAGGCCACAGTCTAGATGTCTTGACTCCAGGCCTGTCCCTTCTCTGTGATCCTAGAAGGGGGTAACATCAGCCCCTCTCAAGAAAAAAGTTCCCATTCACTCCCTTCTTCCTGAAGAAGACCCCCCCCCAATGGGGGCTTCCTCCAGGACCCTAGGTTAGGCACAAACCACACCCAAACACCTGTTTCCACAGAGAGATCCCCTGTTAAGCAGTGGCTGCTTTCTGACTGAGGCAGAAAAACAACAGCAAATGACCTTGCAGGTGTAATTTTAGGAGTTAAAAATTGGGAGGTCTGTGTTAGAATGGGCTAGGATGGCAACACATTTGAGGGGCTTTTGACTGGGGGACCTCAGCAGTCAGCCTCAGGAGGACAAAGTGACAAGTAAGGAAATAGATCTAGCTTCAGGAGTGTAATCTAATGGTGTTTAGCTAGGCAGAGTGGGGAGGGGAGAAGGGCAAGACTGCCAGGGCCACATGGTCCTGTGGGCTAGTGTGGCTTCACCCAGGTCCACACTAGGGTCATGTCCAAGTCCTAGACCCAGGGAGCCAGCCTTCAACCTGTCCAAAAGATTAGGCCACGGGAAGACACAGGGAACTGTGGAGAAGGAAGTGTTTGATTAGAGGACCTATGAAGCCGCCTGGTTTATGTCAATATAGAAAAGCCAGTAAAATGACAAGGAATGGAGACATGGAAAACAGGCACAGACAAAGGAGGGAGAGTGAACATCAGATCACATGATACAGCAGTCAGGCCTGAAGCTTCCACCCCATCCTTGGAATAGGCAGGTGGACAGATCTCTCTCAGCCGAGGAGCCTCTTGTTTTAGGTTTAAGCAGGCATCAGTCAGAGCTGTGACTGTCCCCACTTGCCATTCTGACCCCTCAATCCCAAGTTCATCTTCAGAGGCTTCCTTGCTGGACCCTGGATGTGGGGATCCAGCAGAAGTCAGCTAAAAATCAAACCTCTGGACCCCTGCTCACTGAGGAGGCAGGAAGGCAATGCAGTCCTTCTCTTCCCATAGAGTCACACAACCATATAGCTCCCAGAGCCAGGCCTAGAAAGAAAAAGAAGGCTATGATCATCCCCACTGTTTCTGCTTCAGCAGGTTTGGCTTTCCTAAAAGAAGGAAGGCAGGGTGATATTAGGAAAATCAAGGCTAGCCTTGCCTTCCCGTATCATAGTAATTTCCAAGCCCCAGCCTACTTCTTGAGGGATTGTTTCTTGTGACTATCATCCACTCTACCTCAGTCCGTTCCTACAACTCAATATAAACTCACCTGGAGTCCCTTATTTTCACTGCCCTTTCCCCACAACCTCCCACCCTAGGCATTCTTGCCTCCACCAGCAGTATGCAACTTGGACACTGTGGGCTCTCATATTGCTATCTCTCAATAGACTGAGGGACACTCCTTCGTCTCTTACTTAATTCCTGCCTGAAGTCACAAGTCCCTTATGGCCTTACTCACTTGGGCCCTAAGCACATGCAGAGGCTGGCAAGGTATTGGAATAATCAAAGAGGGACATGATGAAAAAAAAAAAAAAAAGAGGGACATGATGATAATTAACCGGGTGTCATATGTAAAGACAAAAGACCGCTAGTCACTCTCCTACATTGCATAGTAACAGCACGGGAAGAAACAAGCCTGGCAACCAGTGAAATACGCAGCCAGCAGCTATCCCTATCAGGCTATAAGGAATAGGAAGGGCTTCAGCACAGGTTAGTCTTCAGGGACCCTTGAGACTAGGAAAATACTTGTAGGACTGGTTGCCTTTCAGGTTGCTGATAGCCAGGGGTGCAGTGATGGTACCTGTGAGATACTTAATTCTTTTTCTTTGAGACAAATTCCCATGTATCCCAGGCTGGCCTCAAACTCACTATGTAGCCTGGATTGACCTTGAACTTCTGATCTTCCTCTTTTATAACCCATTGATGGGATACAACTTTATTTTTTTATAATTTATAATTTTACTCCTCCCCAACCCCCGACATACCTCCAACCCCATGCACCCACCACTCTCCAGGCAGGGTAGGGCCCTCAACGGGGGCTCTGCAAAGTCAC